TGGGAACCCGTGATCGCTGACTCATTACGCCAAGGCTGCAGTCACGCTGACTGCCCGCATCCTGTCTGGCGTGACCTACTAACACGCCCACGCCAGTGCGTAACCTCGCGCGGTTCAACCGATGAACTCCAAGGCTGCAGCTAACGGTGGCCGCTCGAATACCTGCCCCCAAACATCACTCCGGACCCAGCCCGCCTCGTGGCTAGACGTGCACTCCGGCAGTCAAGACTTCGTCCTAACTATTCTCCAATTCATTCTGTAAAGAATATACTCTTACCCCTACTCTGGCCTTCCCAAGACTTCTCTCTCCTCTCTTAAGGAACCGGCCTTGGAAGATCGCATGAGTAACATAGTATTTAGGGTTTTCGGAAACTAAAGGTTTCCTAAAGTCAAAAAGGTGTACTTAGGAAAATAAGTGGATAGTATTAGCAAAAAGGGAACGATTTTTCACACTAACAGACGGTCGCACTCGAGGACTTTCCTTAAAGCTCGAAGCTTAACTTTTGGTGAATATGCAACATTACCAGTGAAAAACAGAAATACCTACGCGAAACAGTATCGAGGACGTTTGACAAATTATTCTTGTGCCAACCCTCTTCCAGACTAGCCATGCAAAAACAGAATATGCATAATTACGTATGCAGGCGTTTATTTAGTATCCACATTCTTTGTATGCTTAAATCGCTTATCGGGCGCAAAGTACACGACAACTTAATTTCACGTCACGAATACAACGCGGATATTCTGCTAAGGCTAAGGAAATTCATGTGGACTATTATTGTATTTACAGGTTTATAACGAGAAAAATTGACGCCGAAAGTTTTTTTTTCAAGTACATGCACTACTGTTAATTCACATACAGCGCAACATTACAGAATCTCACTTAACCAAATAATTTCCTTGAAAAACGCGATTAAGGTAAATAAAAGGATTTTACGTAAAAGTGTTGCATCTCAAAATTAGCTTATCTTCCAAATATAAAAGGCCACCACCAAGTGCTGGGGAGATAGCAAAGAACACTTAACTAAATTGAGTCGGAAACTAAAAATACCGTAACTTAATAAAATAATTGTTGTATTAAGCAAATATTTGAATGGGCACTGTCGATTTCAAGCTCTAGATTAGAATCAAACAGTTGGGAAAACATATTACCCATGAATTATATACATATAAAGTAGCAAGCTTTTATCAATGGCACTGCAATTTTTTACTCCTGAAAAATATGGAAAGAGAGTTTGTTAGCTGCATCTGCTGTGTGAGGAGAGCGCAACGAAAATATGGAAAAGTGACTGTGAAATACAAGATTAAACACATTATTTCTGTCAATGCTTGTGCAAGTTGGGATTGAGAAATCTTATATTAGCTTTGATCTTCTTATAGGGACATTTCTGGATAAATATTTGTGTTTTTTTTACAGAAACAAAGCTAAGTCTTCGGAGGACTAGATAGTGCACGTATCTAGTAGGTAGCGGCAAGTGATTGGTTACAATCTGCAGGTCCAGCGTGCACATGAGTGGCTGTGCCTGCTTTCTGCACATGCGCAAACGCAAGCTCTCATCTGCCTACATAAAGCTGTCCGAGCCTCGAACCGGACAGCACTTTTGCCGCAGATACGAGGCACTAAATCGACAATGACGGGCTCTTTGGACACCGGCCCACCGCCGGGACTAGGGAACCGTTCCAGAGCCAAAATGACCTGGCTTGCTAGACACTTACTCACAACCGTTTTTCTCCTCGGATTTTTGACATCAGCTGAAAGCGAGCGCTTATCCTCAGTGCCATACTACCGCGTCGACCTACACCTGCGACAAAGAGACGATGCGGTGGTTTTACATTGTCCGGCATATCATGCTCGTGCGGGTGATATTGTCGTTTACGAGGAAGCAACAGGAGGCGAAATTATGAGAGCGGAAGTGCAGAAGAATGCGGCTGTTCGACGATTGAAACTACTGGCCAGCTCACTGTATGCGGTAAACGCCACGCACCGGCGCTTCTGTCGTCTGCAGAGAGTCGAATCGGGTACTCAAGATCTGCGAACTGTCTCTCTGACAGAGTTTATTATTCACCGCACAGGACCGGATGCTGATTTGAGTACGTTTGGGAAATTGTTTGCTCGATGAGATTTGAATGTTTTTTCTCTTCTATCACATAAAACCTAACAACGTTTTGGAGTAAGCCGTGCTGATAGAAATAGGAAATCTCTGTGCTGCGCACAAAAAAAGTTTATCATGAGGGCTTGGCAGATTTAAATAATTCAATTGACCAAATTCGCGGCCTCGATGGGATTCGAACACACATGACAAGGAAGGCTTTTGTACAGCCAATTATCTACCGCTGATTTACAAAGGCATGCTGAGGCTTTAAGTTGATCAAACTTGGGTTGATTTTCCCGCCAAACCCTCTTGTTGAATTCCCCAGTGGCAGGGAGCTTTGAGTTAATCTACCGGCATTCATTAAGATGGTAGGGGAATTCAGATTTCTCGTATGCCAACTTGCATAAAACGTGAACTTGACTCTTTCTGATCGAAACTCGCCTGCCATGGTAGCTTTTATGCGTAACCGAATAGACAAATTTCTTACATGGGCGCAAGGCTCCTTGATGAGAAAGTCTGCACATATAAGTCAATACTGTGAGTTTTTAGTTGAGAAAACTAATCGTGACTTTCATCTTCGTAGAAATCTGATAACCTGTGAAAACCAAAGCAGACTCGCGGGTAGATACATTAGTATATAAAGTTCTCATACAAGGCTGTACATTCAAAAGTTAATAGTCAAGTATTAGGAAACGTCTGAAGGTAAGCTACTGTGGTACAGACATTAATGGTTCTTTGTATATTTCTCGAAATCTCTCACTGTGTGAATCTACTAATCTTCAGTTTGCAATATCGAACATTTAAAAAATCATTCACTTCAAATACATTGACAACGTAGCATCATTGCTTTACTTTTGAGATTGGCAAGCTAATTGCACGAGCGCCATTTGGGAGGTACAAGCGTTGCTAAGTTGCGTTTCTGTGTTTTCTCCTCTCCTTTGAAAAAATAGTTTTCGTCATCACATTATTCTTTTACCACGAGCACTTCTGCCTATAGTGGTGTTCATTCAAGTTAAGTGTATGGACTATTTTTCGAAATTAAAGGTGCGGCCTTCGAGTTCTTCAACTACAATCCGAAAGAGACACGTACCATTCCCGTCAAGGAGGGTGACCCCGTTCTCCTCTCCTGTCCACAAAAGTCACCGAAGGGAAAGCAACACGAGCGGAAAGCGCTTTGGTTCCGAGCGGCTGGAGAGCAACCGATTTCTTCTACAAAGAATAATCAACTGTATCTTGCCTCTGTGGGGCCTGAAGATGTCGGCGTCTACTACTGTGCTTGGCAAGAGAGTACACAGCGTTCAAGCCCTTTTCTGACTGTTACAAAATTTATTCTAGGAACGGAAGCAGGTGGGTTATGAAATCCTTAGTCGTAAAACTACTCCAACAACCTCGCGTATCTGTGAGGCTATTAATCAGTAACTAGAATTCTGTACTATTTTGAAAACCTTACGCCAACATTTCCTCTCTGTTGCCTAAAATATACCGATGGTCATCCCATTTCCGATGTACTATCTCAGTAAACCGTTTTAAGAAAGCAGTCATAAGTAGTTGGACCCAGGTGAAACCTACTACCCCATACGTTCCCACAGTATCTGGAACGGGCTCAGAGAAGACACGAATGCTACTGAACATGCATATAACTTTGTCATAAATCTGAGGTCAAGCTCCTTCTATCATTTCGTTGTATAATTTTAAAAACAAACACGGAGCAAAGTAAGCATACGGTTTATATTATGATACTCTGTGCGATACACTGTTGCGATTAATTCTATGCTGACTAGCTATCATGCGGTAGATGAGAGCCTAAATTATATGCTTATCAATGCACCGTCTTCTCTTATGTCAATCAAACAAAATCATTCATTAAGTCCCTTGTCTACAAAGCAGAACTCACCCTCTAGCACCAATTTCTTTCCTAGGTGCCGTGCTACCACCAACTCCCACCGAAACTACCACAGTTGGTGACCACTCGATACGATTTACCTGCCAGCAAACTGTTCAACCATCTGATACAATCGTGTGGGAGAAGCCAGGTGGAATCGTGTTCCTAAACCATGCTGGAGACAATAGTATCACTCAGAAACCCACAGAAA